TTTTGGAGGTCTTGGAAGAACAGCCCCAAAATCAAACAGATTGAGGCCTCTCAGCATTTTGAAACTCTAGGGGCTTCCAAACCTCGAGAGGCCCCAATCTTTTCGAGATTCAAAACTCAAAAAGATTGAGGCCTCTCAGCACGTTGGGACTGTGAGAGCTCCAAAACATTGAGAGGCCTCAATCTTGTTGAGGTCCAGGATTCCAAAAGATTGGGGCCTTTCAGTGTTTTGCAGCTCCCACAGTCCCAAAGTGCTGAGAGGCCTCAATCTTTCTGATTTGCGGTACAGTCTCCCAAGACCCCCCAAAGTTTTTCGGCACGCCGCTCCATTCCGCTACGCGCCGCCCCGACCCACCCTTGGGACTCAAAGGAGGCAAAAGGGTAGGTCAATGGGGGGGGGGTACCATATATATATATGTGTGTGTGTACACATAACGCGGCACTAGCTGGTTTGCATAACCGGTACCATCGGCAGAAACTTACGGTGGACATGGCCATGCCTATTCAAGCTCTGTTTCTGTGGCCCTCTACCACAAGATTCCGCAAGATCTCTCACAAAGAGAGCGGGGAATATGTTCGATTGCGTCAAGGGACAACAGCTTAAACAAGAAGAAGTCGTAAACAATGGTAAACGAGAGGCGAGAGCCGTAGCAAACGGGAGAGCGTCGGTGGGGACGACGGCCTAACCGCACAGGCACGTGCTATGTGGGGAAGCCCAGCAGATGATGGGGACAGGCTAAACTGAATTAGCTTTGCCAGCTGCAGTTTTGATTCGCTTGATTGCTGGGACGTCCAAATTTAAACCTTCTAAGGTTGCTGGACTACGAGCACATGTGGGCGGACCGTGAAGACCCAGCCGAGCACCGAGTCCTCAAGCATGGTCTTCCGCATGTGCCAGCCAACCCAGCCAGGACTCTCATCAGGTGCAGGCCCAAACACTCGGGGGTGGGTGAGATGCTCAGATTCTAGATTCAATCGGGATGGGCAGCGCAGAAGAAACAGGGTAAGTTCTGGCTTGCCTGCTTTGTTCCAGGTATCGGCCTGGTCTTGCGAGGGGCCTGGCACAGCTGCCACAACTTGGATGACAGCCTTTGTGCCTCAATGCGCCTTACAATTCTTTGAGAAGCCAAGAATCAACAAGCATCTTTGGGACGGTAAGGTCGCCCCTAATTGGAGAGTTAGAGCAAGAGAAATCCCATGACTTGTTGCCGCCATTTGTGGCTCTCGAGAGGATTAGGTCCACAGGCACCCCGCCATGCCACTCGTCCGAAGCCCACGGATCGGGTCCCCGATCGCGCGAAAGGAGTCCGGCCGCCTCTTTGAACTCGCTTTCGCTGTTTCAGGTTGGAATACGCCGGCATGAGTTACAGGATGACGGAGTACGGCGTTTGTTGAGATGGAGGACACCGGGGATGAAGCCAGAGGTGGGAGGTGGTTTGGCATGTTCTTGCTGCGAACCGCAGGATACTCATCATCTCGTGGGGGTCTGAGACTCAAGTTGGGAAGTCGAGTCCGAGAGGGCTGTCGACAACTTAGGATTTGCACTGGCTTTATGGCTGCTAGCTGCTTCCTCCTCGGCTCGCTCTTCGGGTCGCTCAGGGAGGAGCACGGATGGGCACCGCAAGTACTGGACTTCACGCTGCCCGGCAGCGAAGTGCACAGGATGTCTTTGCGTAATTCATGTGTTGCTTCGGCAGCGCCGAGGAACTTTCTGGGCATCCTCGTGCTGCAACTCGATTGCAGATCGGGTCGCAGAGCTTTGCTTTCCGGTTGTGGGGCCGCGTGGTACTGGCACTCTCGAAATCAAGGTTCATAGGCATGGCGGGCGCTGGATGCGTGACCTTGAGGCTTACGTCTTCCGACGAGGAAGTGATGTCGACATCACAGCGCCGCAAACGTTTGAATTGCTCGAACTTCCATCTGTGTTGGCAGGACTCTGCGCTATCAGAGACTCAACTGCGCGTGTGGGCAAGCATGCCCTTTTGTCCCTTCGCTTCAAGCGAATGTCAGCTTTAGAACTTTAGGTGCCCGTATGGCGTAGAGGGCAAGCTTTCTCCCCAAAAAGGGGCCCACATGGGACACTCGGCGTTTCTCCATGTGTTCCCGTGGCCTTCAGCAAACATGCTCCGAACCCATTCTCTCGCTCCTTCGTTAGGATAATGAAAGCAGCGCTGCTACTGCTCCTGCTGCTACTCCTGCTGCTGCTACTGCTATTACCGCTACTGAGCCGCTACTGCATCGACTACAGCCACTACATGCGGGAGCCAACAACAACTACTACTAGTACTACCAGTACTAGTACTAGTACTAATACTAGTGCTGCTGCTAGTGTTTTTACAGGTGGTGGTGGTGGTGGTGGTGGTAGCAGCAGTAGCAGTAGCAGTAGCAGTAGCAGTAGCAGTAGCAGTAGCAGTAGTAGTAACAGTAGCAGTAGCAGTAGTAGTAACAGTAGCAGTAGCAGTAGAAGTAGCATTAGCAGTAGCAGTAGCA